AAATTAAACATCAGACCTGACGCTGTCAGCCACATCATCTGGTTATCCTGGTGCCATCATCAGCATATTTTAATTTTCACTCGTTATGAATAAAAATAAAATTTCCCCTTCATGACGTGTTCTGCGATTTCATTGGCCACATTTTTGTTATTTTTCTTGACTTTATACTGAAATTGCAGAAACTAAGTTGTGAAATCTATCGAAGCTGCTGCGTCGCTAATGTTAGGTTAGGGAAGATTTTTCATCCAGTTCGTTGCATTTACTTTGGGGGTATTTTTTTATCTTGTATAGAGGGAGGTTTTCCGTGCAGGTTGTTGCATTCAGTTGATGGTTTCGGGTTCTTTGACCGTGTCTTAGAAGAGATTTCCCTCACAGATTTTTGCGTTCAATTTTTTATTCGTTTATCATTGACTTTTTGTGTAAACGACTCGGAGTTGAGTTTTTGCTAAATAAGTTAGTGCCTAAGTTGCATGTTTTTCTTGGCAAATTCCTGCACATTTTCCTGTGTTTTTTGTTTCAAGCCTCGTGAAATTCTCAAGTTATTCAATTCTATTTTTTATTTTAATAATTCAATTCTCTTTAAATTAAAATAATTTTATTATAAAAAATTTCGCTGCATTCATTCGAATGTCGATAACAGGTTTTTTTTTTTTTTGTAAAGATGCATCTTATCACGAAAATAAACTTTTCCAGACTTTCGAAATAACTTCTCGTTCGAATGCTATTGTTAGTTAGAGGTTTTAGGTTCCCACCAGATAAACGACGTTGAACAAACGTTTAATCGACGTTTACTCAACGAAACGTTTAATTAACGTTAATTTGACGTGAGATGTGTGGTGGGTTCCTTCATGTACCTTTTGAGGCGTAGCGACACTACTCACTCAGAAAAGGGTCATATAATCAAAAAGTAATACATTTACTTATGCCATTTGGTTGGGCCGTACTGGGTCAGAATGAATCACTAAAGGGCAAAAAGTGCATTGCTCTCTGGGTTAAGTCTCACTAATTTCTCTCAGTGTTGATTGAAAATGCTTTGGTGTAAAAGGGTGTATTTTGCCTGTTGTTTCTGATGTATAACGTTCAAAAAATTACTAAATCAAAATGTTTATGAATCTAACGTGAGTTGTTGCATTGCTTTTTTAAACGTAGTTTAGTGTGCATGGTGCTAGTTTGTTTGTTGGTAAAGCTCTCATAGTAATAAGTATTATTCAATGTTAATTGCTGGATTTTCTTTGGAATTTATTTGTCACGGCTGTTCTGCTTAAATTTTATTCGAAGTTTGAAATATAAAAAAAGAATGTAGCATTTTAAGTGTGCGCTTGAAGTTTTTTAGTTGGATATGCATTTAACGTATGATTTCATTGCATCAGTTGACGATGTTAGTTGTTATGCAACGTCAGCATCACAAACCACCGCCGTTGTCATTGTAGCTTATCATAGATTCTTATTCCCGATAGCGGTGGGTAGTTTGAAAAACACTCCAGGTTCCGATGATAAATTCAGAAGCACCCCTTCATTTTTGCTTACGTCAAAAATGATCAGGCTTTGAAAGCAACTTATTATTGGTCCGTCCTTGAAATTATCCTCTCGTCTACTCTACATTTGGAATATATGACCTCAATATATATCAATATATGACCATCACCTACCGCTAACTGGGCTTGCAACTTTTGACTATTCCTTAGATTTTCAAACAACTCTTAATCATTCCTAATTAACAATTGCTAACGCTCCCTCGCTCCTCCCAAGCTGCGTTTGTGCCTTCCCGCGTTGCAGGTTCGAAATAATTACTTTTATTTGCTGCGCGTGTCGTGTCTTCGAGTATAATTAAAGTATCGTTCTAGTTTCGTCATGTCCGACCGACGAGTCAAAAGCGAACTGTCGTTCTTACCAAACCGTAGAGATTGTCCGTCTTACGTCATTGCTGACGAGATTGTTGTAGTTGTTGTTGTTGATTGTTGCGCTGCATGCCGAACACCGTTCCTAAGCCTTAAAAATGAATTTGCACGCGACGGTGAACCATATTTTCAAAATGTTATGAATATAACGTACGTGATGTGTACCGTTAATACTCATTGCGATGTTCGCACAATCGTTGCAACGGTGCATTAGTATTTTTGTTGTACGGAAGCGAATCAGGTTGCATCGTCGACCGATAAATGTTATAGCGATGAAATGAAGCTCGATACTCACTCTGTTTTTGTCCGTTTGTAGTTTCCCTATTAATTCGTTTGATTTTTTACTATGTCAGAATGTAGAGTAGCTTTAATCGTCATCACGTTGCTTCAAATCCTTAATTTTATCATTAGAAAAATAAAATTCCTTGAAGCCTGTTCCCGTTACTCAATATTTCAATTTATTTCTTCCAAATTGTTAGGTAATAAAAGCTTCTCTATCCGACACGTCCATAATCTTCATGACACCCATCCTTCACACTCATCCCACATTTTCCTATGATATTCATTCGTCATTTTGAAAGTCCTTCCACCAGCGATTAAATTTTGATTTAAATTAAACATTTTTTGATTCATCAAAAATATCAATACTTTGATACTGTATGATCGTTTTTTGAATAACATTCAAAAAATCTTTCACTGTCACACTAATTAAATTCTTATATTATGTTATTAGAAGTTAAGTTGTTCTATTTATAAAATTTGCAACATAGTTGAAATAGTTTATCAGAATAATTAGACTTTTGTACGGTGTCTTGAGAGGCAGTACGCTTAGGCCATGGCTTGCTAACTCCTAGCTCGGGGTTACAAGTCCATTATTCCAATATCATTATTTTATAACACATTACCTCAATATAGAATGACATACCTTGTCAAAATTCCTAGTGATTGCGCGTGCAATTCCCAAATGATGACTACTTGATAAGCTGACAACGCACAACGCATGAAAGAATCATCGACGCAACGAAAGCGAAGTGTCCACATTATCGGCGAAATTTCGCCCTCGAACGCTCTGCTGCCGCCTATGGAGATAGAAAGCGTAACAGTCATGCCTTGCTTTAGTTGATATGCAACTCGCTTAAACTAAACTTAACTCTTATCTCCACTCCTATACTGAACATTTATAATATTCATTCGATTGTGAATACATACTAAGAAAGGTGGATTCGGTTGCACTATATAGATTTATGGCCGTATGGGATGAAAAAAAATGGGATGAAATTTCCGGACATGGCAGCGCCTATACAAGGCTCGCCTCTTGCTTTTATTTCCCCACAAATGGAAAGCAATTTTGTGTTGGCTACCTGTTCAGTGTAGCAAGATAAAAAGTATTGGTGTACCAAGCCATGGTTCCTTTAAATAATGGTGACTAATAATATGTTTTGCCTGAGGCAGTAGACCACCTTGTATAACAATAATCGTTGCACCTAACGTCAATGTAACTCACAGATTATCAGAAATTAAATAATATTAAAAAATACCACATTTCATCCCACTGTCACCCGCAATCTCAGTGTGCCATTACATTTGACACAAAAACTGTGAGGCAGATGAAATACATGCTAAAAATATTTAATTTTTCTTCAGTATTAAAGTGTAAGTCAAGTGCCATCCTACGCAATAGTCACACACAAATAAAATACAATCGTTTGAAGAGTGTAGTTAGTGGATGCTCTATCATCATAATTTTCTAGATACTAACTATTTGCTTTCATACAACCGATTTGCGCTACAATCGTATCCTTATTACTAAAAACTGTAGTACGGGCGTATGCCTGCTAGTTACTCCTACTAACTTATGCGGTCGTATCAATACTACTATCTGGACTTCAGTAATACACTGTAAATCATGCCTGTATCCTCATTTTTAACGTCGCCAAAGTATTTTTAGGCATTGAATTTCTGATCACACTGAGCACGGTTAGTGACACCCGTGCGTACCTTGTAATATAAGCTTTTGTATATTGTGTGTCAAGCCGTTCATGGTTTTGACTTACACTTATTGTGGCCTGGCGATGATTTTAAAAATTCGAAAAATAGTTGAGCCTTTTTCGAGTGCGGCAATCTGAAAAAACTGATGAAAAACCACGAAATATACTTTCAAGATTTACTTAATTTACTTCAAATTTAATCAAAATGAATAAACTATTGACCAAACTTTAATTTGTTTTATATAGTTTAGTTTGTAAATCTTAAAATTAATCGAGAGTTCAATCAAAAGATGAGCTCGGGCCGCATGCTCGTTTAAGACAGATTGACTCTAGCAACGCTTAGATAAATCATGAACTGAGATATGACCAGTGTCTAGATCATCATCTAGTTCAGGATGACGAACTACCTAGATTGTGACGCAAGTATTGCTCTAGCTTGGCTTGATTTGTATGTCGTTTTTACCAATTCCTGTGTCCGTATGTGAAGTTATTGTATGAGGAACCCTTTGATCCATACAATGTTCGGGATTCACCCTGTATAATGTATGCTCCTACATTGTCTAGTGAACAATATGCTGCATGACTGATAGGTGGCTACTCCCCATACTTTTGGCCTATGCTCAATGTGCCTATTTGCCTCTAGAAAACAATGCATATGAATCTTGAAAAGAAATGGTATCTGCTTTCTGACATCGTAAAGCATATGCCCTTAGAAAATTCATTGTATATGTCTTTATTATACCCTCAGTAAATGCCTTTACACAATTTACTGTGTATACCCATTGAAGAGATACAGTATATGCATTTAAAAAGTAGTAAAAGTATGAGCCATTTGAAGAAATATCCCAATGCTCTTTTGAAATGTTTTTATCCTTTCTCCATGAAAAATATCCAATTTTCCTTTAGATATTTATTCTAAGGATGTAAATTGTAAATTACATTATATAATAAACCTCCCATCTTAAATAAGTGAGTAAAATATGTGAATAATACAATAATCACCTCATTATATTCTAAATTATGTAAAAAACGTTATTCCAGTATTTGGTAGAGTTAAGTTAGTGTGTCTTGTATGTATGTTCACGTATCTCTCTGTTTTTCTACTCGTCTCCAGCGAATAGGAACAACAATGTCTATGATCGTAAGTACTCTAGTGAAGAGCGCTTGAGTTTCATAGTATTAGATGACACTAATAATCTAGTCAGTTATAGTGAGTGATTGAGTTATGAAATGGTTAGTAGACATTTATCGCTTGTGGAATGCCAGTTGGCCATTTTGTATTATGCATTCGAGGCCAGTTGGCCTGTTTTGAACTATATATTCGAGGCCAGTTTGCCGATTTTGTATTATGACACTCGAGGTCAGTTGGCCGATTTTGTATTGTGGCATTCGAGGCCAGTTTGCCTGTTTTGAACTATTCGAGACCAGTTTGTCATTTTTGTGTTATGGCATTCGTGGCCTGTTGACTAATTTTTGCATTATGGTATGAGAAGCCAGTTGCTTTTCTTTCAAATTAGGATACTCAGGGTGATTTTGCCTTTTTTTTTGGTATTAAAGGCCAGTTGGCTATTTTTAGAATATTAAATGAAATCAGTTGGCCACCTTGACACAGCGACAAAGCAAATTAATTGAGCAGTTGTGAGTAACATTACTGGTGCTTGTAAGTAATAGAGTAACCTTGCTAGTGCTTGTGAGTAATTAAGTAAGTAATATTATAAGTGCTTGTGGATAATTGAGTAACGTTGCTGATGCCTGCTCCTCCACTCTTGATGAACTCGGTTGCAATTTCCCAGTTACAATTACTACCTATAAATTTTATTCAAACATAGACTGTTAGTAAATATAAATTATGAATATTTTACGTAATATTTTGGATTGAAGTCAATGTTAGTGATTAAAATCCTTTTATTATGTTTGCATGAGAAACCAGTTAGTCGTTATTAGCCTCTTAATCTCGACCCTCTAATGCATTGTCATTATAATGACAATGCATTAAATGATCTTATAATGGTCACTATAATGCTTTTATCCGAACAACAATACTTATAATTATAACGCGTCAAAATATGTGTGATGTGTGTACGTTTTGTTGATGTTGTCGTATAACATAATTCTTGTGTAGATATAATTTGTGTTAACTCATAATGTGTTAATTCTACGTCATATAATTAGTGTTAATTGGGTGTTACCTTCACGTCGCGGCAGATGCGCACAAATATTGTTTCGTTGTCTTATGATTTAAATTGATTATACGAAGTGATTCAATTTTAGCACAATAGTTGCTTAAATTCGTGATTCGTGTTCATAATTGTTAATTGTGGCATAATAATTTATTACTATTAAATATCAGCATAATAATTTATTACTATTAAAGAATGAAAAGTTTTGATTTTATTTACAGTCACCTTCATTATTTGCATATTGAATTTCTTTCGTAAACTGCATGAAGCATGAAATTTTACTCTCGGATTCGCATTCAAAATTTTTGATATTGTTCATGATTTTTTTATAAATCATTTATTGATGTTGTAACATTGATTTCGTAATGAAATTAATTGCACAAACATTGTTTTAGAAAGCTTGTCCATATTTGTCGTATTATGTGACCGATAATTATTTATAATTCACTGTACCTTCTAAAGATATGTACATTCACAGTTCCCATAATAAATATTAAAACACGTCTTTAACGTCACATTATCAGGAGGTTAATAATTGTTCGCGAATGCAAGCGAAGGCGTTTATCTAGCAATTATTTTTAAATTATTAGCTAGGCATTAATTGTATACTATTATCTTGGTATTTATTGTACATTGTTGTCTAGGTATTTGTTGTAAATTATTATCTAGGTATTTATTGTACATTATTGCCTAGGTATTTGTTGTAAATTATTATCTAGGTATTTATTGTATATTATTATCTAGGTATTTATTGTAAATTGCCTAGGTATTTGTTGTAAATTATTATCTAGGTATTTGTTGTAAATTGTTATCTAGGTATTTATTGTATATTATTATCTAGGTATTTATCGTATATTATTATCTAGGTATTTGTTGTAAATTATTATCTAGGTATTTATTGTATATTATTATCTAGGTATTTGTTGTAAATTATTATATAGTGATTAGTTGTAGATTATTTGAAGTAATTCTTGCGCAGCTCGCAAGCAAGAGATCATCAAGGCCACGGAGCAGCTGATCGAGTGCATCAACAGCGGCGACTTCGACGGTTACGCGTGAGTCTTGCGCACTCACTCATGTATATTGTATCTCTGTATAATATTTAATTCTACCTTATTTCATGTTTATTAGTGTTTAGTATCAGTAATTTGCCCTCATTTCATGTCTTAAATGTTTTCTTATTTACATGTGCTAAATAAATAACGTAGAGTTTACGAATTTCCTTCTTTTATGCACATTTTTGTATAGTTTAATTTTATGCCTATTCATGTCTATTCCTCTATTTCATATACCCTCCTTTAATTTTTATCCGTCTTTTTAATTTTATCCTATCATTTCAATTAGTGTTTATTATCATTCGATTTTCCTTCATTTAATGTGTATTAGTGTTTAATATTTTATTTATCCTTAGCTTTTTTCTTGCGTTTTTACTGATCGGTCATAATTTATAAAAAAAAATTCTCCGAGAAGACGCTTCATATGGCATAAATTTCACTCGATATATACAATTTATGAAATTTCTTTTCTCGCAAACAGGAAGATTTGCGATACCCACCTGACAGCTTTCGAGCCAGAGGCCTTAGGAAACTTGTTGGAAGGCTTGGAGTTCCATAAATTTTATTTCGATAACGGTGAGTCAGTAACTTAGCGACGTCGAATTGTTAATCTATTTTTCATTTGTAAAATAGATGTTGAGGTAATTAACTCAAGTGCAAGTTAGATCATTTTAAAATAAAATGGTTTATGAAAGGATGCTTTGCAGGAGTGAACTAAGTTACATTTAAATACTACTGATACAATGCAGCAGTTCGCGCCGGATGATGCAGTTTCACTAAGTATGAGGGTAAAATTAAACCATGAATGATATTGGTGCAGTGGTGGGGAAACACTGATAACCGATGTTAATGCTGTGGTGTGCTAGCCTTGGTCACTGTTATTGGTGCTGTGGTGTGCAGTGGTGTGCAAGCAGTGATAACTGATGTTAATGCTGTGGCGTGCAAGCCTAGATTACTGATATATGTGCTGTGGTGTGCAGTGGTGTGCAAGCAGTNCCTATATACAATATCCCGACACGATAAGTATCCTGGATACGCGCCCCAACAGCCCCTATGTACAATATCCCGACACGATAAGTATCCTGGATACGCGCCTCAACAGCCCATATATATTATATGTGCCCCGTATTACAGGCAGTGTCACCAAGTGCCCCGTATTAAAGGCAGTGTCACTAAGTGCCCCGTATTACAGGCAGTGCCAGGCGCACACGCAGCAGTGCGAAGAGACGCGTGTATGGCAGCGCAAGGAGGGCAAGTGGCTGTGCGTTCACCACCACCGCTCGGGCGCTCCCTCGACACCCACCTTCTTCCTCTCCAAGTAAACGAGGTCTTCAGTCCCACGCATACATGGATAAAGCTGCCTGCGTAAAAATACGGAGTAAATACATACGCTGAAGTTGAGTGGGTTAAATTATACGCTACGCTGATAAGAAATGCGTGCGTAAATCTGAGGAGAAAATACGTACGCTAAAGCTGAATATTAAGGCGCGGCACGAGGAGCGTGAAGAATGATGAATCGTACGTAAAGTTTGGGAGGAATGCGCATGCGTATTGCCAAGGTAGATGTGCGCAGAGAACGTTCGTACTTGAGAGGTCTACGTGAGCTTTTGGTACGTCGAAGTAGAGTGAACAATGGTCCGTGTTGTAGCAAAAATTTGATATTACGTTGTAACGTACAAAAAAGGTTGTTATTAAGGAATTATATTACTGCTCTGAGTCTACTGTCAAATTCTCAGCAACTGTTGGTTCTGGAGTGACCTTAATTTTTATCATGTGTGCAGTCAGAATTATCCGTTTGTTAGTTAAATTAAATTAATTAATTATCCAAGCAGCGCTGCTCAGTAATTCGTTGATCACGTTCCAGGTTTCAAGGCGTTATCTTCTCTCGTATCAAGTCGATTGTGCAAAATCGTAATCGTCAAACGTCGTCATAACACAATTTGATATTTGCTTTGACTCGCCAGATCGCCGTGGCAGCTCTTATTTTTTCTAGCTCTTCGAACTTCCTATTTTGCACCACATTATTAAATACATTTAATTTTGATTGTATTTTCGGCCAAGCGTAATGCTATAGAAAACGATTTTATCGTATTACCAACGTTATTCATCTTTCGGGATTGGATATCGTTGGATGCCGCTGCAATATCAACCACTTTACTTTTGTGTGCCCGGACAATATAATTGTGTTGGCCAAGACTTTTCTTTAAAATCTTTTTTTCTTCGAACTCTCATTATAGTGATTAGGATAATTAATTTGTTTGGCGGTCATGACGATTATAGTTTTCTGGATAGGTATACGAGATACGTTGTCCGGAAGTGAAGATTTTTTCAGTGATCCAGATCACGATAAATTTAAATTATTTCTCTGACAAATTGGCCTAATTTTTTCAAAGTTTTCCTCAATTTTCCGCTTCAAGTTTTTAGTGAAGAGAATTTTATTCTCAGGAACTTGAATTTTTTTAGAAGTATTTGACTGTACTGGTTAATGATATTTGTTAAATATTTTTGAACGTAATTGTCCAAGAAACGAAGGTAGAGGAATGTGGGAGATGAGACTGCGCGGGTCTGATGCAGACATTGAATGAATCATTCACTCAGACAAATTAGTGAGATTGTGTCCAAATAGCGATTCACTTATTGCCTTTCTGTGGGACATCTCTATACAGTTTGGCCCAGCAGAGGGGCGTATCACTGCTACGTCCACTATCTGTTTGTGCTGTTGGTAAAGTAGTGTGTCAGTATTTGGAGAATATGACCCATTTTTTTCTGAGTGATGCATGAGGATAATTATGGAACCTGTGAGAGAAATTAAGAATTAAAGGAGATGGTTGATGTGTGATAAAGGAGAGGTGACGGGAAGTCAAAGCTGGATGCATGTTCTTCGTATTGCGTAAGAGGGGAGGATATTGTCTTGTGTTGCCTCCACTTCCCATTTCCCCTAACTGAAACCAACCTATTCCTCCGTTCCCTTTTCATTTCGTTTTTTCCTGCTCCTTCTACCGTCTCCTTGTTGTACCCTACTCCTACTTCAATCTCTCTATATCTGTTTTCTTTCTCTTACTGCTCCTTCTATTTAAATATCTTTCCTACTCCTATTTTACAACTTTTTCCTAACCTCCCCATCTTTCTTCCTACTACATCTCCTCCCCAGCTCCCATACTTAACTGTGGGGCACGTAGCCCTCTTTCCCCTTCAATGAGGGTGAAAAGAGCCCCCAATTCCACCCCCGTCACTTGACCCTCGTATTCTACCCCTCTGAGTCTTATTGTCTGAGCTTCATCAGTGTTCTTGGGTATAATAATCAATCGATTTTGGAATTTTGTACGTACGTAGACTTCTTGCTTAAAGATTAAATATCTGAATCGGTACGTTATTTAGGACATAACTTTATGTACAGCACAGATTCTGTTTATGCTTACTCTTTGTGATACAATTATGCACTTTCGGAGCTGCATTGTACGTCCAATTGCATCTTCTCTATGTCTTTCCCGAATACTTTCATGTCGGCCCTAGAGATTGAGTGCCATTCATTGAGTCTTGAATGTCATTCAGCGAGTCTTGAGTGCCATTCATCGAGGGCTAGGAGTCATTCAAACAGTGTTGCATGTGAAAGCCATTCAACGAGCCTTGAATGCCATGTTTCCGAAGAGGGTTAGAGGCGACTAATGTGAACATGCGGTGTTTAAGTGAAGTTGAAAAGAATGTTTGAATACCGTCTACTGTGCAGACGCTTTCAAATGCACGGCGTTGAAAGAAGAATAAAATCTTCGTTAGAAGAACGTGCTTAAAAAACGGTATTTTGAAGCGTGGGATTTGATATGCTGGTTTTAATGAGGTTTCGAGCATAAGGGCTTATGTTGGCAGTGACTCAACAGTGTTGTATTAAATGTATAAGCATAGATATTGACAAGTTTCTAGAGTGCTTGAAAGGTTTAAAGGGTATTCATAGTGATGAATTTAGACTGATACTTGTAAGATGTTGGGTTGAAGCGAATTGATGTAAATTATAGTGCGAGATGCAGCGCCAAGCTATGATAGTGTACTTATTAATCTCATTGTGAGTGACATGTGACGTGATGAAAGTTTTGACGGAGATCAATGATGCGAAAAATTTCTAATGCAAAATCTACTGTCCGAGAAAAACATTTTTCCGAAATTACTTTTTCAACGCAACGTAAGCTTTCAACGTTGAAAGAAATGCGCATTTCGTGTGTAAATTGTTTCGGATTTGCTAATTTAGAAATTAGAACTTGTTGCAGATTTAGAAGGTATGTAAGGGTCAACGTCCATACTTCTATTGAGGCGACACGAGTAACTGGCACTGAGAGTAATGTTTGGATTATTAAAAGTTATCGCGTTTATGGATTATCTAATGAAGAGCTGAAATTTGGAAATTAAAGAGTTGGATGAATTGCTCTAGAAGAGTAAAATGAATCTTTGGCAAGTGGCGCGGGTGGTCGCACTCACTCAGGCGGCTCCCCTTCAGAAGAGTGGTTGGCAGCTGCGTTCTCTCGCCGTCGACCAAACTATCGCTACCCTCTGAGGGTTTACCCTCTAAGGAGTAACCTTCATAGGTTTCTTTAAGCGTATAATAAACTCTTAAGAAGCTAAGATAATCCGGAACGCCGCCTTGCTCTTTTTTCTCATTATCAATGCACGCCTTTCACTATTGTTTCGTGTAGACCATTTAATTAATTTCTGTAGTCTTAACTCTTAGGGCATAAATCTTTTGATTTCTTCTTTTTTGCCATATTTTCCATCAATTGCTATACATACTATAAATACTATACATATATCTAAGGTTAGTCTATTGAAGTTGAGCTTGAGAAGATGTATAACATCTGAAGCAACTCTCTCTTGTTTCTTACCCGGAGTGAACTGTGTTGTTTAAATGTTGATCGTTAGTTCTTCACTTGTGCTCTATCTCCTCCCATCTATCAATTTCTATCTCTTCCGTCTTTCAATTTCTATTTCCTGTGTGTACTAATGAACGTGCGTGATGTGCGTTTTGAAACGGTCATTTGTAGCTGTGCTTTCCGATACCGAAACGTACGATGTGTAGGTAAACTTTTCCCGATAAAAACTGGATCAAAAGGATGCTGCATCGAGATTTGAAATACTTGGCAAATTCACGGGAAATTGATTCTATTTCGTTGCTGGAGAGGCCGATCTTGACCGATGCATCGCATTTTTTACAATTCGGGTAATTTGTGGAAAAACTAGCATTGTTGTACGGTGGATAAAGTTTGAGTCGTGAACAAAACGTTCGACATCGACTTGTCCCGAAATCATATCTCTACTGCTGATTTCGATGTCTGTCAAGTTGTCTGTCGTTTCAATGAAGCCAATAGGCCATGCCAAACTATCCGTATACAAGACGTCTATTCTGCTGGAAAGTCGATGAGCTAGAATGCTATTGGCACCAAAATGACAGTTTGGTCAAGACTTCGGTAAGCCAAAATTTCACTGGCTCAAAGATTTTGTTTTTTCCAAAGCGGCCAGACATCGAGTCACGGAAAATATTAGTTACTAGGATTTCAAGAAGCTTTAGCATCATTACCATGACTGGCTGCTTCTATAAGTCGATACAGCTTTTAGGCTCGGTCGTGTGTCGTTTTGTTGACGAACAATCCACGTTGAAACGGGCGCGCAATTTTGCTCAGGAGGAAAGTGCAGCTCTACTACTTCTATGTTAACTGTCTTCACTGTGCCATCATCGCCCCTGAAAATAGACTTGTTGGGTATGCTGAGTGTGTTCTGTTCGTCAGTGTACGTTTGATGTATTCAATGTGTCGTTGCAACTTCGAAATGAGCTCGCTTGCTTCTATTGTTTCGGTCCAACTTGGATTACCGAAAAATTTGTCCCGAGCGACTTGAATTCCTTGCACTTTTTCAGCAGCAATCGAAGGCTTTTTTCCACCGGGCCGTTGATTATGGCTGCGCAAGCCAAGAGGCGAGCTCGAAGCATCCCCCGTTTGAGTTATTCACGTGACGGTTGAGTCAGTGACGTTACAACTGTGTCACACCTGTGACGCATGTGTCAGTCATGTGAAGTTTGAGTCAGCTATGTGTCGGTGATACAATATCCTGCTCGATGGAGGTCGCCCGAAACATTCTAGTGTTGAATTCGTCATACCTTTCGATGCCGCAGTCCTGGGTAGCCCCTATATATTTGGTTCTAATGTCCCCACTGTCCCCAAAAGGGATTTTCATGAGCCCTAAATATTATGTTCTTTTGTTTCCACTATTCCGAGAAGGCATAGGATTTTCATCAGCCCTGAATATTAATATTATGTTCTATTGTTCCCGCTGCCCCAACTGTTAAGGTGCCGTTGTGTGTGAGCGTGCATGTGTGTGCGCGTGTTTGTGTGTATGCTCTTCTCGTTGTTGTTTATTCTACTCATGGTGTAAAATTTTATATTTGGTGTTTTTGAAATCTATTGAAGGCATATAATAAGATTAATAGCTGAAAGTCTCCTTGTCATAAGTGTCGGTGTTGCTAAATGCTTCGAATAAATCCTTCTTACAACATTCATACGGAATTTGCCAAGTTTGGCGAACCTTCATTTTGATTCACCGCGTCATTGTAGTTCCTAAAGTATTATTCAAAATGAAGTCCATTTCTTACTTATAACGGGCTTACTAGTTTATCTTGATAAACTTGTGTAATCTTGTACCTATAAAACCTTGGCTATCTTCGTATCGATAGATCTTTTACTGGGACTTTCGTCAAGTTTTGTGTAAGTGTACAGCAATGGTAAGTAGTGTCATACAGGTTTATCGTTAGCTCTAATAAATCTTTATGGAATAACCCCACTTCTGGTGTCATGGCTGCCAACTTCTGGCCGCTGTCGATGTTATTCATCCCCGCATGGAGAGGAGGAGAGGAACCAATCTTAAGTTTCAAGTTAAAATTACCCCATTTATATTTCATTTACTTTATTCGTTTGAAAAATTCTATTGTGTGTGGGTAATATGGATAATTTTGCATGCTCGTTCCACTGAAATTAATGCAAACAGTTCGTAGTGACCATCTAGACGTCACTTATAAACTGGGGATGGAGGGGAGAAGTTTTATTATAGTAATTTCAAGTTGAGTTTTGTATTTCGTGCATTCACGACGCTCAAGTAGCGATTGTACCTAAAGGATTACTTATAAATCAAAGTTATGTATTGTTACATCACTTAGCAAAATTAGTTTTTCTCGTTTATCTTTGCAAAACATTTCACACTCCTGATTGGTTTGAGTCCTTCCTTCCCCCCATACGGGGGTGTGAGAAGCCCTCCCACGGTGTCCTCTCCTGTTCGTTGGTAAAATGTTCTTGCATCGCCTTTCTCATTTGTAATATAACCGAAGGTCTTTGTTTTATAATCATTGTTGTTATTATAATTACTGCGTCTACATATATGGAATATAAACGAACCACATCAGTAAGCTACAGCAACACCGACTTCCTGTATAACTACAGCTAAAATATTAAATAAATTATCAATTTATTTGCTTGACATACGAGTACTGCCATTTGAAGTTGATTCAATTCATTAATTGAATCAAGTGATCTACATTTTTGTTAAGAGCTTCAGCTTTTAGCGTTTACGTTTCATTTGAGTTAGTGCTGATATTAAGCGACCTCATGACATGGTGTTTGTAAAATGGCTTGCCTGCCATTATGTTTTATCATTCATGGAGATTTTCACGCGAACGGTTAACAGTGCAACTAATATGTGACCCAATTCAATAAGAATTAATCTTATTTGCGGCCATCTGCACCTTTATGTGACCGATATAAATTACATATACTGCTTCACTTTATCATTGGTCGTCTGAAGAAGAAATGATCATAATTTGAATTTTTCCGCTTCAGTAACGGCTAACAAAATTATTTTATTGTCTTGCCAAGAGTATTAAGTAACCTTGCTGTCTGTAATCCATAGTGTTGACCGTTAGCTTGATATTAAAGCCTTTCGGCTTTGACGATAATTTCCCAGACATTTTCTTCTCGCTCACTTTTGGATCGTCTCAGGCGCTCGATTTTTTGTTCATTTTTTTCACTATGGGCTACTGAAGAAACTATCCTCAATTTGTTATAGAATAAAACTTTATCTGCAAAGACGTTTTCATTATTGGAAACTACTTCATTGTGGGCAGCTTTAGCCAATATAGCCTCGGGGCTTTCGTGTTAATCTAATCATGCACAGCACGAAATTTTAAAATTTCCGATTCATGAGCGATTGTGATCATTACGAACTTCTTTTTTTTTTATTCATGCAAGGGAAATATCAGTTCATAAAAAATCTTCATTTTTGTCATAATGTTAAAAAATTTCGTCTCTGGTGTCGAGAATTTATTGCTAATGAATACTCGTAGTGTTAATATTCTCTTGCGGTCTGCGTATATATTTTGTGTAAATTTTTGTATGTTAAGCAACTCATTCATATCAGTTTTTCTTAGTCCACGATTCATAACTTAGCTAAACAAGGAAGATGTAATGTCAGCATCGTTGGACATGTTGTGCAATCGTTCGGGATGCTCAATAAATCCTTCGTGATTTCCTCAATTAGTATAATTTATTAGACATTGTAATTACAAATTTTAACATCGTTTGAATATATGTATTAAATTCAAATTATGTCGGGGAGTTTTATCAGTTCTACATTTACTGCAAAGCTGGGGATAAAGTGAAAGACTTTCATTATCACAAACGACAAGACAAGAAACATTTTCACAAACTTGAAGACTGCTCACCTTTTTTGCACTCATTTGGACTTCAACGGATGAAGGCTTGTTCATAATAATAAATATCGAGTTATTTTTTTCGCACCTAAAGTGTTTTTTGCTCATATTCAATGTTTTTTATTGATAAAAATATTCTACTGGCTTGTTGATACGTTTGATACGCGCCGATCATTTTCGTTAGAGCTCTCGGCTTTTCAACATGCAAGTTCTGCGCTAGATTTTGTCATTTGAATCTCTGACATGGATGTGAAGATGACTTTGAATGAAATGAAAAATCCTGAATGCTTCGTTTCATTAATCCAAAAATTTATTTAGTACTTCATCCACTCGATCACGTGTAATTGTTATGATTTACGAATGATGACGCAATGCGTGAAAGATCGAAATAACACTTATGTAGAATTGGTAAATTTATAGAATCTGCATATATTCATTTCTTGTAACAAATACGATCCAAAAAATACTTGGATATTTTGCGAACGCCTGACAACGAATATCAAATGCTTTATGAAATTTCCAAAAAAACTGACTGAACAGAAAAATTAGTAATATTTCAGCAACAATGAATTTTCAAATATCGAATCCAGTTAAATAATGCAGTCAAATTATGCAATAGCATTTAAATGAAGCCAATGCACATAATTGCATTCCTATCAGTTTAAAAATCCTGTTGATATTCGTTGGTCCAGGAGTTGATTTAGGTTTCTTATGATCTTCAACTTCTAACCTGGAACGCACAAAAGCGAAACTCAAAATTAAAATTTATTGGAATAGATTTCGAACAAATACACGTTCCACTTTACTATACATGAAGAAAGCACATAAAATTATACATGAACCACAGTCACCTTTCATCTTAATTTTAAATAACACAATATATATCATCACAGAAAACAAATGCACGAGTCAATCTCGTATAGAAAATGTATTAAATTTCATCACACAGAAAACAAATGCGCGAGTCAATCTCGTATACAAAATATATAAGTTGTGTAGCGGGCCAAGTCACACTTTAACTTCACTGTAAAACTTAGTGATGGTAAACTCTTGGTAAAGCATAACTTGGAAGTGGTGCGGCGTAACTTTCAATTTATGAATTAAAATTTGAATTATTCAGATTGCCGTGAATTGCTTAGGTGATACCATACCAGCTAAAGGTACTATAATAAATATTACTAGAATAATTAACGATTTATTAGTTAACGCGTTTTGTTGAAGGTTGCTTTAGGGCGCCTTGGTCTCATTGTCGCAAACGGTAGTCAGGGCGTGAAAAATTGAGAAATAGGCCTACGCAACTTCGACAATAATTTGACTGAATCATATTACGATAATTTACGTCCATCAAGATTGTAGCAATGCCGTGCACAACTAAAAATAGCATTTGGCTAAAATAATACAAGGGAATAATTTTTCTTGTATAATTTTTTTCGTAAAAAAATTATATTCATTGGCATTCGTACAATATCAATACGTATACAAATTTTATTTAATTATACTAACTCAACTTTATTTTATTCGCACATTTCGAATTCCGCTCCATTTGGTCGGTACATGAAAGTCGTGTGGGGCTGCGCCGCCAACATAAATTCATTATGAATATTCAGAGGATAACCAATTTCTACTATAAAAATAACACAAGTCACTTAAAATTTCTCCCGCGTTTGAAGTTAATGGGAAATAGTCAACACGCGCTCGATAGTTTAAAAAAAAAATCGTAAAAACTATCATGGCTAAGCGAAAATGAAGTCCCATGAATTCTGACAGAGTGATGACACAAGTCTCGTCACGTATATAATTTAGAGCTTGATTATGAAATAAAAAAATTCCAAGTGACTCAGGTTTTTGATGTCGAAGTACGTCGGCCGGAATTGCCTTATCAAGCGTCGAATGGAGGCGGCGTTGCAAAAAAAAAAAAGCTTTTTGTCAGGGCAGGCAAACGGCCACGGTCTCGTCTTTTTACTCGCTTTATCACTTAGAAATATACATGTTACAAAGTAATCAGATGTGTCCAGATATTACTATGTATTTATTTTTATCTGCCATTTCTCAATCGTTCACCCAAGTAGATGAATTTCCCCCAGGGGAAGTTTATTGTAAGTTCGGGATCCATTGCACTGTATGCTAAAACGGAGAAGCGGGCGCAGTGGTCTCACTGCAAAATTTTACACATTGCTAGTACTTTATAACACTCAGATTTTTTAATGGACGAACAAAATTTCTAAAAAAACATCTGGACCTCATTGTATTAATTACATATTCATATATTTATTCATTTGGTACTCACGTGAAACAGGAACATTTATGAAGAAAGCACACACAATTAAGGATGCGATTAAATTCGTCAAAAGTTCACAAAAATGTCGCGCTTACTGACCTTTCACTCAAATTGGATGAAATCAGGAGCGTAGCTTAACAGGCGCGGCTGGAATTGGCTTGCTTTCTCGAGAGGCTGTCGACCAGGGAGCCTGGCGACCAACAAGAATGAGAAGAATCAATGGCGGAAAATAGCTTCATCATGCGCTGGAAAAGAAACGATTCGGAGAACGTACAGGTGAGGAGGGACCTTGCAGTAAATGAATTTCCTTGACACAAGGCAAGAGTATTGAAGAGTATTATAACAAGAATGGCGTTTGCGAATTATTTGTTGAGAAGTTTTGCTTGACTGGCTGAAATTAAAAACTATAGGGATTTATAAAAAGGGAGAAAAAGTTAGTATGCGTGCTAAAGTAATTGTTCATGATTGTTTTTCAAAATTATTTGTTTGTACGATTTTTAAACATGTGTAGTGGAAACAATGACTGTATTTCCAAGTAATCGAAAACAATTTTCTAGTTCTTCAAGTCTCTTAAATAACACCTAACAGAAAATCTAACTTTGTATTCAACCACATTTCAATTGCCGCCCAACATTTTAACATGGCAGCAAACCTCCAGTTCCGATAGAGAGTTCAGACCCGAAAATTCTATGCTGTCAGTTTCGTTTTCAAATTCCATTGCCAGTCACTCACTGACGTTCACGATCGACGTTTCAATTCACCTTCAAACGCCGTGATACTCACCACTAGCGATAGAATTTCAAAGGGTCTTTGTTAAATATTTGTCTCGATATTGTGCAGAAACAGATCCTTTATTGAAAATCAACAGAGAGCTCCGAGGAAGGATTCTCAGATGCGAGATTTGAGAATTGTCAGAGGGAATTCTTTGGATTCCGGGAGCGCCCCTCCAACTTGCTGACTGTTGACATGCGAGTTAAATATTACTATATCGAAAACGTCTTATACGATTCGGGATCTTAATTACTGGTTTATTTATATAAAATAAAAATATTCGATTTCACACAGCATAAATCGAAATTTTATGCAAAATAAAATGAATATGAATTTTAGGCCAGGCAATTTAAACCAAACAACTTGTAAAAAAAGTAAGAGCGATATTTCTTTGTCATTTAAATAAGAATGGTATTCCAAGTAATTCTTCTTATCGAACAAAGTGGCAATATAAATCGGAGTTTAATTTAAAACAATATAAACACGATAACCGTTCCGAACAACGTAAATTAAACTCTTTTTGTAAGTGATACATGCGTTAAAAATAAACTCTCAAGTTAGTCCAGGAAGAGAGAAGTTTCTTTCCGGCAAAAAGTTCCTCGGCAACCAAGAACCGTCTTTCCACTCACGAATTTTCAAATAAAAGGTCTCTAAGCACTCATAACTCAATGAAAAAATTTTAAACCTCGAAAAAATGGCAAATAATATGTTTGTAAAAAACGCTTCTTAGGCCAATAATTAAAGTAATGATTAGCAAACCATGATAAAAATGTTAGAAAGCTCGATATTCCTTTCGCGTGCTTTATAAAAGACTAGTGTAACAGAAACTGGAACAAATAGGAATACTGAATTTTAAAATAGCATATACAAAATTTATATTGTTACAAAAGCTAAGAAAAATTTTTTCCAGTAAGTCTACTTACTAATTCATTTTCGGACACTGCAAAGCCAATACGAAAGATGCCGTGGGTCGTATAAACATCATCTTACTTCATATTGCGAAATTATATGCACCTAAATTAAAAGATTCTTTGCCCTTCATCGGCAGATGACAGACTAAAAATTTCTTATCATCCAGGAATGGAAAAAAGTCGGCATATTTTCTGGCCAATCAGGAAGAACTTCCATTGACATTCGTTCATCAAAAGCAAATAGATGAGCAAGTCGAGTCAAATCGAAGACTTCAATCTTCGGTCAACGGCCATTTGAGGACATCGCTAGCTGCTCAGGGTCTCTCATTAACATGAATCATGGGGTTATCTCAACATAATATTTTACAATTTTTATAGAAGCGAAGATTTTTTGAATTTCAGTTGTTGAATTTTCGCTGCTACTATGAGTAATATGGAAAATGAATGCGACATTTTTGCTAATTGCGTTTTAATTGCACAAGTGTTATTTAAGGTACTAATATTCTGATGAAAGTACAGTATTGCTTATGAAATTGTGATAATTTCTGCTGTATTACTGCTAACGTTTAAATTAAACTGCATTAATTCCTTAAAAAAATACATCATTGCAGCTTCCTGCATATAATATCACTTCGTGGCGCGACATTTTAATTTCGTGGTCTGTGGAGTATTTACTTTGCCGCATGCTTGAAGTGGAGAGCAGCTGAGGTGCCGAGATTGCAATATTTTCAGCTTCCGGCTGGATATATTGCAGCATTAATAATAAATTATTGAGACGTCCTAATTATTAATCGGTAGCATCCTTGCCGTTAATTAAGACCACTTCGGCCGCTCAGCTAGGGCAAGCCAATAATTATTGAGCCTCAGCAACGTCAAGAAATTATATATTAATATTCATTTTATTCGTGATGATGATTTTAACCGTTAAGCTCCAGTTACCGGGACTTTTAATTTGTACAGCTTTAATAATAGTTAATGCATACATAAACAAAATGTCAACTTTCTTGGAGAGGAAGAAATTTTTTCTTTGAAGCATGTGCTGAAAAATACGACTCATTTATAAACATACACAATTATATACATATATACACATGATATTGAGTAAATTTCGAATGTTGAAGTTGCAAATTGAAGCTAAATTGTGAAAAATATACGATATCAACAGTCAAAAATATTATTATTCGGAATTACTAGACACGAAATATGAAAAAATATGGAGAGTAATTAATAAAATTTCATTTAATTCAATATCATCAGGTTACTGATTTTACAGAGAATTATAACTAAATCCGTTACTCTAAAAATAAAAATGCGAGAATAGTGTCAAAATTAATGGCTGAGCCTCAACATTCCTTTGAGTGCTCATATTTTCGATTCATGAGCGTGGTAGGAGGCGATGTTTGTTACGAAGAACAGATTGTTGATTGGCAGCGTAATGATAACGCGGCTTGAGACAAAAACTAAGGGTCTTTCGTTTTGACTGATAAATTAAAGTTATAAATCGTAATTACCAAGAGAGCTGGGCCTTGTGAGACATGGTCCAGACGAAACCAGAAGACCAGAGGAGACGAAAAATGGTAACTAGCCAGAGATGGGGAGGGTAAAAGGAGAAATGGTAACTAGTCAGAGATAGGGAGGGCGAAAGGTGAAATGGTAACTAGCCAGAGATAGTGAGGGCGAAAGATGAAATGGTAACTAGCCAGAGATAGTGAGGGCGAAAGATGAAATGGTAACTAGCCACAGATAAGGAGGGCAAAAGGAGAAGCGATAACTAGACAGAGATGGGGAGGGTATAGAAGATAACGCTCATCTAGTGCTAACGCGGAAGGATTCTACATATTAACACGAAGAATAATAACATGCAAAAGGATCCCAAAGCTTGAGTTAAACCGTAATGATCTTCAATTCTATAAAACTCCCGTATCAAACTTACGATTTTATTATCTTCGCACTCGACAAATAATTTTGGCAGCGCTTCGGAACCAGACTCGTGTGATTTAAGGCAGGCGTCGTTGAGATCTACGATTTACGAGGTTTTAATATCCGCCCAAGGCTCATCAATTCGGCGGGAGGTGCCAAAATTTGAGCCTGTGGTACTAATTGAAATTTCAGCGACTTAAAGTGACTTCTTGATCGGCCATAACCCCAACTATGCCGCAAACCAATTAAAATCTGCCCAAGTTCTTCAATTTATTACGCGAGGTCTGGCGCAATGGAACCCCATGACTTTAAGACGGTTGTCTGAATTTTCTTGCTTCGAATAACTAACTGTGAAGACAAGATATTTATCCGAATTAAGATAATAATATTTAAATTATTCAAAATTAATTTTTCATTCAACCTTCCCGGTGATCCAGTTTAATTCAAAGAGCAGAGCAGTATTTGTTAAATTATAAGCTTTGAAATGACGATAGGCGAAATTTATTTACGAATTTTAAAATTGAATTCCTGCTACACTTCGACGAACAAATTTCCGATAAGCTGACTTCGAATGTCAACATTAGGTGAAATGGTAACTAGCCAGAGATAAGGAGGGCAAAAGGAGAATCGGTAACTAGAAAGAGATAGGGAGGCCATAAAATATAACGCTCATCTAATGCTAACGTGGAAGGATTTGTACATGCTTATACGAAGAATAATAACATGCAAAAGGATCCCAACGCTTGAGTTAAACCGTAATGAAATCAATCCAATAAAACTCCCGTATCAAACTTACGATTTTATTATCTTCGCACTCGACAAATAATTTTGGCAGCGCTTCGGAACCAGACTCGTGTGATTTAAGGCAGGCGTCGTTGAGATCTACGATTTACGAGGTTTTAATATCCGCCCAAGGCTCATCAATTCGGCGGGAGGTGCCAAAATTTGAGCCTGTGGTACTAATTGAAATTTCAGCGACTTAAAGTGACTTCTTGATCGGCCATAACCCCAACTATGCCGCAAACCAATTAAAATCTGCCCAAGTTCTTCAATTTATTACGCGAGGTCTGGCGCAATGGAACCCCATGACTTTAAGACGGTTGTCTGAATTTTCTTGCTTCGAATAACTAACTGTGAAGACAAGATATTTATCCGAATTAAGATAATAATATTTAAATTATTCAAAATTAATTTTTCATTCAACCTTCCCGGTGATCCAGTTTAATTCAAAGAGCAGAGCAGTATTTGTTAAATTATAAGCTTTGAAATGACGATAGGCGAAATTTATTTACGAATTTTAAAATTGAATTCCTGCTACACTTCGACGAACAAATTTCCGATAAGCTGACCTCGAATGTCAACATAAAGTCTATCACTTGTTCTATTAAAGTCCGCCCGTAGTCCATGATTAATTTTTGCAAATGCTCCTTTATAATTCTGCAAGGCGTCTTATATAGTTCGGCCACTTTGAGTTAGATGAGCATCCCAAAAATATCTGTAAGTTATAATCCAGACTTGGTTGTTTCAAATTACGTTTCAAATTGTCCTATTGAATTCAATTTCGACAACTGGGATGCAGCACTACAGCTCGGGCCCGTATTTCCTCGGCAGTTCATTTCGCAGCAGTCCGGTGCTGACAGCAGCAAGAATTTTGTTAAGAGTTACATTAGTTTCATCCTTTTATTCGACGCACGTTCCAGTTCCTATCTTAGGAAAAGAAACACTGATTTTTTCTAAAAAAAATCCCGCTATGAATCGCAGGAATTTTCCCCGATGATTGACGGCCTCGCAAAGCGAGTTAACAGCGTGCACTCACATGCAATTCTGAACGCGACTCAGCGCGTTTCGTGCCATCAGCTCAAATTTTGTGAACCAAAGACCCGTGTTAGATAGACCGACCACATTAGATAGACCAATATATATTAAGGAACTGCCTGGGTCTATGGAACAGGAAAGGAAACGTTCGCGCTATCGCAATTTGTTTCTTTGTGGTCGGCCTGAATTGAGAGGAGCAGCTGGAATCCTGATGAGCCATTTCTGGTGTTAGCTCAAGGAACGGCCTGCTTAAGAAATTAATGCAGGCCTATCTTGTGCAATTATTTAAGATTATTTACAACTATTTAAAAATTTGGCTCTTAATCTAAGTATTATTATAAAGCATAAACGAACTCTGGAACCATCTATGGGTTAGACCAGCTTCAGATCTGAAACAGAATTAATCTGAATTTCCGTGCGTGAATTTATAAGCAGTTGCTCTCTTCATATTTAGTGAAAATTTAGTCATAAGATAGCATTCGGCTCCTTCTTTGTGTTCTTTCGAGCTTGCATATTTGATCAATTTAGAATTTTCGCTTCT